TTTATTACATTTTCTTTTTGGGATAAAATTAAATAAAAAAAGTTCTGCCACTGTGTTTAATTATAACAATAATCTCAGTTTTTTCTTTTTTGGAAGTAATTATATGTAATATTCAATACTTAAAATTATTTTTTTCAAAAAAGATCATGGCCTGCAGAAAATTTGATGCCAAAAAGTTTCATGTTTTGTTGCGCGAAAACGCATAAGTATCGTTTACAATCGACAAATTCAAGTAAAGTCAGTAAGAAGCGGAGAGGGAGGGGGAAGGTAGATCGAGCAGGCTGATCGTATAATTTTGCACATTGTAAAGCTTAGCCCGTGGCAGGGTGGGCCCGATAGAGAAAAGGGGAGTAGAATTACCTTTCGTAGTTGAATAGAACGCACCTACGTAGGCACGTAGGACGAGTTGTATAGCGGTGCGTAAGTGCGCCTCGAAACAGGGTCGGGACGATCGAGAGAAACAAGGAATCAACTGTTTTATACAATACATCTTGCATATCGTGAAAGAAACACGATGATATCGTACACAATAAATTCTTGCTTATTTCAACGCACATCCCCTAATTGAAATTTGTTTTATCAGATAAAATATTTAATTTTTTAATTTAATTAATTAGATTTATTTTTAGTGAAAATATTTTTTCTTAAGATATATTTTTCTTGATACAATTAGATAATAATATTTGATAATAAAATTAATAATGAATTTATATATTGTTACATTTGATTTCTCAGACTTTTTTTTAAGCTAAAACATTTTAATTATTTTTCGATTAATTCAATTTTACGACGATTATTAAATTTCAGAACGGAACGGAAGCAGCTCGCTCCTTCGAAGCACCGCCGTACGAATTTATAGCTTCGAAATCCGCCCCTGCAACGAAGCATGGTGCGTAACAGAAGTGCGTAGGCATTGGTCGTGCACACGTGCAGGGGCACGCGTCGTGACAAAGGGCCCGCACTGATCCACCCCCTTTCTGCCTCGTTTTAGTCCCTACTTCCTCGTCACCACCACCCCTCCTGCTCATTCCATCCCTCTTGCCTCTCGCGTCCTTCTGCGGCTGTCGACTGCTTCGGCCGCTTAACGCGAACGAAGACTGAGGCACTCGTCGCGTCGTGTTATTAGCGCATTTTAAGCACGTGGACCCCCGCGGCGCATCAGACTGCGCGAATTTTATTATACGTTAAACTTGCGCCTGTGCTGACTCGATAATCGCTTGACCGATAATCATGAATCGAGGAACTCATTGCTCTATACCGGCTCTACCCCACCGGAAGAACGAGTCACGTTCGTGCCAGGCGGTGGTGATCACCTATATACAGCGAACGAAAGTAGTATACTTCGATCAATACTTATAGGCAATAACGTTTTACTTGTTACGTTTAACGAAAACCTAGCGATTGATTAACGAGAAAAAAACGGTGAGACCTCTAGAAGCGACAATAGATTCTATAAGCACGAGGAATTTAAATGAAATGTAAACTCAAGGGGTGCAGCCGTTGCGTGCAAGACGAAAGAGATTCACGTTCCGCTACGGCAATGTGATCAAATACGCATTGCATTGTCACAATAATACGGTCATCAATAACATCACGACGGTTATCCCCCTTTAACAATAAACACGGAAAATTAGTCAGGAACGGTGCCACGCTCGTATAGATACAGGAAGCTATATAGCACGACCGGGACTGCCAATGCTAAGCCGTATGGCGAACGAGAACCGCGGCCGAATTTATAACGAAATATATAGAGCGGCGAGACCCTCGCGAGAGGAGCTTTAATCTCCTGGTGCACCGAGGGGCACCGAGGGGGCGAGCGGGCGCGCACGCCTCGGCGGAGTCCCACGAGAGAAGTGCTCGTAGGGATTATGCGCGAGAACGGGGGACCGCCGTGAGGCCCCACCGAGTCCCCCCCTCTATTGTTGGGGATCTTCTCCGACGCATAATGCCCCCGGATGAGCCTGTAAACTTATCAGTCGGACGGTCGCGAGCAGCATCGATGCGCCGCTCGATAATACTCCGAAACTCCGTGATATACCTACGTGCCGCGGCGGGAGCGAGGCCGATCGGAGGGGGATCGATATTACGATCGTCCCCGTCTGGATACGTAAATCAGGATCAGATCACTTTGTGCTCGGGTCGTGCGTATTTTCCCCTTTTCTCGCGCGCACGCAAGGAGCTCGTTCCGAGCCGAGACGCGCGCCGCGTACACGCCTTTGAAAATATTCGAATCCGCGATTTTGCGCGCAACTACCGGATCAACATATCCGGGGACTTTACGGGACCCGGGAATCGCGCGCGTACCGCACGATTTCGGGCTCCACCCGGCTTGACGTCGCACTCAAATGGCAAGCGCCCGACATGTGTTACCCCTCGCAATGATAATCGTTGAATTACGCACGTTTAACGCGCGATAAGACGCGGTCGTTTAGACGCTGTGGTCATGCAACAACGACCCGGCGCGCACATATGGGCCACTTTATATTCCTCGCGTGACGTTCCTTATACATGTATTTCACTTATATATCACGTCGTATAAATTCCGATTGTGCGTTACGCGAAAAGCAAGCCCAGCATCGAGTTTCCGACGAAGGTCGTTTTTTTCTCACTTCACTCGAGAAGAAAGTACATCCCATCCTCTAACGAGCATCATGTGTGAAGATTGATCCTTTCCCGTTTTCAATGAAAATAATGAGGAAGCGAGAAGAGCAAGGATCATCTCTGAGAAATATTTCATAAATCACCGTCTTAACCGCTGCTGAGGACTAATCGGTGTCACGTGCAAACCGTTCGCACACGAATTGCGTTAATCCCCCTGTATGGGAGTGAGAAGATCTCTCTTGCATATGGAAAAACCACTGCGCCGTACCGCGTTATTTCCATAAACAGACTTTTCCCAGCTGTTATGGAACGGAAGGTCGCTGCTCACTTTCGTCCTTCCACCCCATAAACTTGCTAACTGCAGATTATCAATAAAATATCAACTTCGAATAAAGCATACATTTAAGCATACAAGCATATTTATGAAGCATAACAATAGCCTGGGCACTAGACATTTATCGCATTTTAATAAATAATATTATTTTCGCTTTGTAGATTTAAAATTGAAATTCTGCGCACGAGGTTTTTGCAGACACAGCCCCAGTTTACATAATGTAATATTATAAATTCGGGCCTCTCTCTCCGCGTTTTAATCGCGTACGGTTGGTTTAGGGGCTCTCAGGTTTGGGTGCACAAATGCAGACTAGATCTAGGTCGAATCCTACTGAACCCTCCGATCCCTTAGGCATAATCAGTACAGCCCCCGGTATGAAAAGCTTTTTATCGCGGTTGCTTTCTAAATTATAATTTACGTATGCGCATAAAAATTACAGTTAGGTACGCTCTAATTCAATATTCAATTCAGTCGCCATTTTACGTAGCAACTGTAGCAATTCCTGATCATTAGAAAATGAATTTTTAAACGTTACAAAGCAATTTCTCTCGCTCTTTTCGTCTTGTCTTTTTATTTCTCTTTTTAAGATAAGTAGATATTTTTTAAAATAAATGCTAATAAGATACATTCTTTAAACAAAGAACGAATCTTTAAATAACGATATATTCAGTCGACAGACAATTTAAAAACCGGTCTTTTTTATCCTCCCAAACAAAAATTATATTTCGCATTTGGTATGTCACTCTCACGAGCGTACCGCCCCGAAACACGAAACTTCCGCGGCGCGACCAGCGAGTGTGGTTCTTCCTGTCTTTTGCCGTGGTAGGAAATATGCCAGGTGGAATTAAATTATTTTTTTTCGAATTTCTTTCTATTCATACAATTGAAAGATTTAAGGCATATGCCGTTCGACATTATTTGCAAGTAAAAGTATACGAAGTCACTAACGTCAAATTATATCAAAGTCTTATTATTTTATCTCTCGCGCTATATATTGTATTACAAAATAAAATATTTTATCTAGTTTCATCGCACATTTTACAGTATATATATATATTATATATATATATGTGTGTGTGTGTGTGTGTGTGTGTATGTGTGTGTGTGTGTGTGTGTGTGTGTGTGTGCAATAGTGAAGATTAAAGTGCTCCTGACAGTACAAAAATGGAAATCGTGAAATGCATTTGAATATCTAATGTGGGGATCTACGTAATCTTTGATCACCATTATGAAGATCGCAATATCCCAAGAAGAATAGTTTTCATTAAATGGCATTATAAATAATATTTGTGATAAAAACAAGTATATTCTACAGTGCGTTGTCCATGACAATGCGTTGTCCGCAATTGAAAAATTTAACATAATGGTAGTAATTAAAATGCATAGGCAATTTAATCCTTCTCGATGACGAACAGAGCAATAGAATATTGTGCAAGCAGAACGTGCCGGACAGAGATAGGCGCTAAGTAGACTAACAATATAAACATGACTACCTTAATAATATTACTCCGCCGTCGGCACGCGTATCATCGTAGGCCAATAAGGGCTAAAGTACATAATAATATAGCTCCCTTTAATCGTATATCGACCGCCGTTCAATTACGCATTAGATTACCAAGATCACTTTGTCTTTCGTATAGTCTTCTACGGCCGACGCCACCGGTACAAGAAGCGGTAATTGCGGGCAAGGTACGCACGCACGCACGCACGCACCAATATGCGCCACGCATTTATTGCTGGGCCGTAGACCCACACACGTAGTGGCACAACCGGCACACGCTCTCTCTCTCCCCCGGCATATGGCGCGCACGGTCCCCCTTTTTCAGTTCCGGGGGAGAAGAAACGAGGGGCTGCGGCGCGTGCTGAAAATCCCCACCATTTCTTTCTCTCTCTTCCTCTCTTCCTTTCCCTTACGCGGTTTCGCTCCCTCTCGCTCACGGGCGCCCTTCTCCCTTCTCGCTCTCCAACCCCGCGATCCAACTCGACGCGGTACGGCAAAATGCTGAAACGTAACCCATCTATCGATGTCCGCGCTCATTCTCCATGCGGACGCCATGTAGTGCATACCATACGGAGGCATGATCGGCGAACAGAGGTGCTGGTGATACGCGATCGTGAGAGGATCTCCCTTACAGCGACGGCAAACGCGAACCTCCAGCTAGACCCAGGGGTCTTTGTACTCTTAAGGGCACCCTCGATATTTCCGTTCCGTTACCGCTCCGTTTCGTAAATCAAACGTGGACCAGATTGTTCGCCACATGATCCATGTGGATCGTCGCAAGTGAAGAGTGAGGAGTGAAGAGTGCGATGAATGAAGATTTTCAGTCGAACGGATTACTCGAGTGCGTGTGACTGAAGTTCCAACAGAATTTTCTTCTCATTCCTCGTGTGTTGAACATCAGAAACATTTTCTTCAAAAAAAGTAGCACGTGTTAATTGTGTTTTCCGACAAATTATAATTTAAAATTTTTTAATAGCTCGATTCTAACAATTTTACATTGATATTACTGTGCCAAAAAAAATTTAAACAAGGAGCTATCGCATTTGTTTGAACATTAAATCAATATTTCTTATTCTCTAACACTATTCTCCTTGTTTGAATGTCTCGTGGTGTCTTCAATGATTTACAGTGAATGACATAGTGACTGCTGTTAGCGATCAAGTTTGTGATTGATATCTGGATCGTAATTCATTATTTGTGCCCATCGTAAACGCAACATGCAGTTCATTGATCAACTTTCAAAGAAGAAAAATTACGCCAATCAATAGCATGAGAAGATTTAAGTGCCTTCAATTTTTCTCTCTTTCTCTCAGAAAGAATTGAAATTTTTCGCCTTATAAGGAGACTGTTATTATTTATCTACATGAATATTTGAAAATCGAATGTGTGCTATGTACAAGAGTGTCAAAACAATTTATCTTCATGGCAAATATTAGAGAGTATTTCCATCAAGCGTCACCTTGATCTTCGGTAAGTATTCAACTAAGAAGCCATAAAAATATAATTTATGGTGCGCAAAATAGCAATTGGTACAATAACGGCAATATATTGCACAAATAAGTTATCAATCGAAGATAAACTAAATCGCGTTTTATAATTAGCGAATCCACTATTTTCAACTCAGTTTCGTTAAAAACTTATTTTCAATCGCAAATGATTCGGCAATTAGTTGGGTGTGAAGGATATATGAATTAAATTTATGATGCTTGATACCAGAATGGAAAATTTTTTCTATTAAAAACATACTGATAACATGTGTTAAGACCAATTGTTTTGAAAGATCTCGATAATAGTTTCCGAGGAGTCGACGACCGTCGTGGAGAAGAATAGACGGTGACCTCATGCTTTACTTAAGCCGTGGCGACCGGCAGCGAGACAATTAGATCTCGGTTTGGGTCATCAGCTTCATGAGTTAGTAAAGGAAGAAGCTATAAGCTCTTGTAAAAGCCTGCAGCAAAACATTCACGCATATTTATCTCGAATTGTCGAAAAAGCTTGCGGCTTTCATTTCGAAGATTGAAAGCCTATATGCTAAAGTAGAAAATTAAATAAATGATATTTCTTTAGACACAAATAAATATTTAAAAATACAATTAATCACAATTTGAAAGCATTCACACGAAAGAGTTGTGGTGATTTTTTTACGGACACGACAGGTTTGACCCAGATTTGAATTGACACCCAATCGTGGCGTCGTCGAACGGTCTGCGTCGATAATCGTCTTTGTCTCCGCAGCAAGAGAACGCGTTTTATTTATAAGCTCGGCAATTAGATTCGTCCTCGACGAGCATTAGTGTCATTTATCGACCGGTTGAGTCTGATATGTCTCTTAACGCAACTCGTTTAATCAACACTATTGTGGAAATTACGCGGTGTAATATTTAAAACACAATGCCTCGTGGAAGTCGTAATTTATCAAGATGCCGCATAATTTTTAACGTAGACATAGAGATATTATTAATTATATTCCCATTTCCATTACATTTATTATTTGGCCTCGTTCAATTTCTTTGTTGTTCAACGATAAAGGTTCTTGATAGTAGTTATTTAATTACTTAATAAAATTGCTTACAATGTACAACTTTACGAAAGGAATTAATTTTTCCAGCTTGGGACAAAATCGCGGAACATCGATGATAGTTCACACGTCGTAAGAACTCACGCTGATCCGCGTCACCAAAAAGTACTCGTTCTGAAACGGGCACAATGGCGACCATGGGGGTGACGGTGTTTTGCAATAGAGTACAGATAAACGGCAACGATCAAGAACAATTGATGTTGCTGCGAACGTTACAAGACAACGAGAACAATATCATCGGCAATCAATCAACGTTGATAGTCCCAAAAAACAACGCCGGAAGTAACGCAACGAACTCTACGACGGTGTTACCCCCGTACGATCCCTCGAGACTGAAGAAGCACGGCAAGAATGGTCAGCCGCCGCCTGTTGCTGTTGCACGAAGAAATGCCAGGGAGCGGAATCGCGTGAAACAAGTGAACAATGGATTTGCTACATTGCGACAACACATTCCGAGCCACATTGCCGCGGGTTATGGTGACAGGGGTAAAAAGTTGTCGAAGGTAGAGACTCTGAGGATGGCCGTGGAATACATCAGAGGCCTTCAAAGGCTCTTGACAGAAGCTGACGGCGGCGTTGAATATGATACCAAGACTGCCGTCGGCGTACAGTGCGCTCCTTCTCCAACCAGCAGCGTCATCTCTTCGACTCATAACGGCTCCGGCGAAAGACTCGTTCTCGAGGACGATGTATTAGCCGCGGAAGACGACGAGGGGGAACAACTGGATGAAGAAGAGGACGAGAGTGCCGCCAAATCAAAAATTATATTATCCAGGTAAAGTCTGACTGTTAAATTGAAAGAATGGCTGAAAGAAGGCCGAAAACAAACAGAAGTACAATTTAGAAAAAGACGCACGCTTCTATTTTACTTCATTAAATTATTATGGACAATTACATCACATCGATTATAACTTAAAAATAGAATTAAAGTATAAAGCCTAAGTATAAAGAATTGTATCTTTCTTTAAATATACATATATTAACTTTGCTTCTTTTTTTCTCACAGATTATCTCCCAACCGGACGGCTATTTCATCGCCACGTGACTATTACGCATCCTCAGCAGGCGATGAAGAAAATTTGGAGCCGCGAACCATAACCGGTGGACAGAATTTCTCCAGGCTATCGCCAAATTCAGTGGCCTCGCCGCCCTCGGAGTATTACGCTCAGAACGAGGAGAATCTAGAGCCGCAGATTCTGTCGCCCTACAGCGGTGCCGGGGACAGCGAAGAGGGTGCGACGACTGTCTACGCGACTAGCCCGGAGACTTTCTCCGGAGCCCTCTACTACAAGCAAGAGATCACCGAGACGGGGGAATTCATGGACGTAGTCAGCTGGTGGGAACAGGAACAGGGAAGACTCGTCCATCAACAGCACACGCAACGGCTGACGCACGTGTAACCATAGGTGAGTTCCCGACGAGTTTAACTCAAGTTGTCTGTTCAAGCCGGGAGAGTCCGGCCGACGACAATAAATTACAGAAAAACTTGCTGATGCATATATCATGTTATCATAAAAATGGTATTATTATTTAATAGAAAATTCATTATTTCTTTTACTTTTATCTTTGTCAATTTCGAGTTGTTGAAGAAGTGATATTAAGTACTTAATATTAGAGACCGCTTGATTTCGACACAACGGATAATGTAATTTACAACATTAAACGTTTTCGCAAAAAAAAAAAAGATAAAACATGATAAGGATAAAGGTGTTCGTTCGAGTGTCGCGAGTTATACCTATGTCCGATGCGTTCAGGATGCACACGTGATACCCGCGTCGCGGAAATGCCGCCAAGTGGAAACTCGTGTTCGACGCATCGTCCCGAACACGTGCTACGTCGGTGTCGAGCCCGAAAATAAACTTTACGCATCGAACCACTTTGCGAAGTACGTGCCGACGTGACACTTGGATGTCACGGTCTCGCCAACGTTTTTTGTTGCATCGAGAACCCTCTCCTTTAAAGAAACTTTATATGCAAAGAGCCGCTCTTCCTATCGAGAAGGGATTCTTCCTATCAAATTTTTATAATGCTATAATAATACCTCAAAATGTGCTTCTTTTTTCCCATTATTTATCATCTTTACTAATTGTCTTTATTTAATTTTTGTAATAATCATAAAAAAGAACTCTTTCATATAAAATATTACTTTCAGAATTATTCATAAAAAGGATAATTTTTGTATGAATAGCGATCTAGACTTATCCTTAGTAAAAAACAATTCAAATGAATTTAGTTTTGCAATTCCCGTTTCCTCTATCACACTCGAAGCCCCGTGCATCGAAGGTCAAAGCAACCTTAATAGTCTACAGTATGCAATTTGGGGGACACATGGCTGGTGGTGGATCATGGTGTGTCATCTTAAAAGCGTGCAACCACGAACGGAAGTGGCGGGAACGTCTAGCCATATGTTGGATATTCTTCTTGAAATATCTCACAACCAGACCTTCCTCAATCTTCTTGGTTTCCAATTGCTGGTCATCAATTCCCATGGATATCTGACACATGTTCACTTCACGGCTGTGCTACTTCTTTCAAATCCACTTAGGGGAAATTTAAATCGATATCCGTACGCGAGCATGTAAAATATCTTACAGATACCTACATGTGCTCCGATATTTTGTAAAATATTTATGTGCCAGTTTAAAGATCGAGAGGAATATTAAAAAGAGATTTTTAATGAGATCTGATTAAATTCAAATTTACTTACATATTTTATGCAACTTGTTTGATATACTACGCATAAAAAATCACGTAGACAAATTTCAAAAATGACAAAAAAGATTGAATATCCTTGAAGATTTACAACAAAAAGTTTTGTCTCATTTCATTTTTTTATATTTATAGAACTTTTACAAGATTTTATACTTATAACTTTAATTTCTGTATAAGCATGGCAAATTTCAAATGAGTGTATTTCTTAGAGGGAAGAAACGTAATCGTTTGCGTATAGCGATAACCAATGCATTCGATTCTGGACGTGCAACGGTGGAAAAAAATCAGCTGGCGGGCGGTACCAGTCGCCGTGCCACAAATAGAAGTCGCGGTTTCCTTAGAAACGTGCGTAGAGGCCCACGTGCCGTGCATGCAAGCCTGGCATGTAGTGCTGGATGCACATACGCTGATCGACTGAAGGGCGACGGAAGCTGACTTACCGCTGCCACTGACATATGCGCGGCATGACGAGTTGAAAAAGTCGAGTCATAGGCCGTGAAACGCCTTGCATAAAATTTTTGTTTTCAAAGTCGACTCCGTCATCACTATTGAATTAAAAGAATATTTAATCTTTCAGATATTTTCTTCTAAGAAGAGATGAGAAATTACACATTATACAATAAATTTCTCGAAATTTTGGCTCGTTAAAAATAATTCTAATTTATAAATTATCTTACTTATTTCTTCAAATTTTTGTGGAACTATTTTTTAGATTTTATCATAAAACTTTACCTGTCTTTCTCTTAACCAACGTACCACGTTTCTATCGTATACATTTTCTCTCGGCAGAAATATAGTTATCACGTCAGTATCGCACGACAAGAAGCGCAGGGAGTAAGGAGCTTTAGGCTTTAGGCGCGCGAGGGCTTGGAATGAGCGGTCAGCAAGTAATTCTCGACAATTATAAAGTGAGGTCATCTACGAAGTTTACGAGATGCGTCGTCGCGTCAAATTAATTTAATAAATTCCTTACTCGGCTCCCGGTCATGTATATCGGTGTGTACAACCGCTGGGCCGGTTATCTTCCTTCGCATTTAGTTTGCCTCTCGCGAGGGGGAACAGCGCCGCGAGAGGCACACGAGTCCCAGGTCTTAACACCGCGTTAATCCGCGAGATGAGAGTCCGGAGATCTCTCTCTGCCCTTCATCCGAACTGTAGCCAGTCCAATTAAATCTCCTTTTTTCGAGTAACGTATTATACCAATAACGGAAATGCGCTACGCGCGAATTATAAGCATGAGATAATCCACGGTAATCAAGATAATTAATCGAAGTGGCGTAACGTCGCATCGGACACGGGAGGAGCGTGTGCAGGGGTGGCCGGAAAGCCGTAGGCTAAAAGTTGCAGTAAATAATGACCGCGTCTCGCTTTAGTAATTGAAACGTATTATAGAGATTAAATATGGTATGAGATACGGCCGTGCTGCGACCATGTAATCGTGAGAATTTTTCTTAAGGGCCCTTCGACGGCAGAAGAAGACCATAAATTCGCTGTATAAAAAAAAGAAGAAAATAGTGGAGGAAGAGTAGCTTTTCCTGTAATTAGACTTCATATTACAAACAGTAAGAAATTTTTTAAATTCTCAATTTTCATTTTATATGACTTTTAATATTTTACTGTAAAAAGGAATTAGATATTCTTCTTTACATAATAATTTGCCTCTTGACTTTTAAATGATAATATTTAACAGAAATTAAGTAGTTTTATTAAAAATGTCGAGAAAAAGAATTCGAGAAGAAATTGTTTTTTGAACATAGTATTTATAACTCGAACAAAGACCACTAACAAATTAGCACAAACTGTGTTGTGAAATAAGCATGCGACAAAGTTTATGGCAATCGTCACAGTCGTTTTCCGCCTTCGACTTATTCCACAGACATTTAGTACATGGAACAAAGAATCCAACGAACCAATATGCTGGTGGAGGACCCGCATGTTGGTTATCTTATCAATAAACATTACCAGCATGGTAGCGCGACGGCTTTAAAACGACAATGACGGTTTGAAGCCGATTTCAGGTACTGCTAAAGGTTCGATTTTTTAAATCAATTTTTCTTTAGCATGATTGCGAAAATACATTACAGGCATTTTGTTTTTATTTTCTTATATAATTTTATTATACATTTGATTATGCTTATAAATTATAATTTCATAAACTTTTTAATTTTTGTAATGATTTTTTATTTTTATATGAATATAATAATATAGCTTAATTAACTTTTGGTACGTTTAAATTCTCGAGAAATTTTGGCACGCGTCTCCAATTGCATATTTTAAAATAGATAATTTTATACATTCTTTAACAGCAGAAATTCGGTTGCGGTCTAAAATATGTGCATACATCCTCTCCTTTGGCTTATCAAAACGCGATATTGACAGATAAGAAGGAAATAAATTTGAGGACTTTCAGATTCGAGAGACAACGAATACTTCGCCAAAGAACACTCTTCACGTCGGTTCTTAGGATCTTAAAAGTACAGGCGTGGCAGACTCTCTAATTTATCTCTTTCCACTTACGTATACCATACACGCTTTCCTCAAACTTTTTTTTATCGGCGCCTTTGCGCTTGCGAAGAGAAAGACATTTCTTCACCGAATTCTTTACAAGACACTATCAGCTTCAAAACGAATGACGATATGTTACAGACTCCCGAAATTTATTTAAATTTCTATTTTATTATTAAATTGCTGTTTTTTAAATAAAATATCCATTGCTCAATGTCTTAATTAACAATGTAACTCTCAATAACATCTTTCTTAAAAGATATCAATTGAAATTAACAATTGTGAACATTTTAATATATATATATATATATATATATATATATATAATTTACTGTTTACAATTTCGTATGATAATTCAATTTGCATCACATTATAAATTGGCTTACGCTATTGCTATATGATATACACTTATATTATTTTTTATATTTACAACTACAAATTATTTTGAATCATAAATTGCGTTGCTATTATTAACTATATGTTTCAATTACAGATTACTTTTTTCATAGAAATGTTTAAATGTATACCATGAAAAGCAGGATCCCTGACATATTTTTTCTTACATCGAAACTATTCAGTTCCTTCTCCCCCCCC